TGTAGTAGCCCAATTATTTTAGCATCACAGCTGTCCTTTCAATATAGATTATATTTCAATTCTTTTCTCAAAGGTTGTTGGTGTCATTTCCAGGTTGAGAGAGCTGATAAAGAGAAAAGGACTCGTGCATCAACAACCGGAGCCTAAAACTCATCTCAGTACTTCCCCCTCAAAGCATTAATCTACTTCACACCTGGTTGTTAATGTTTCCCAGATGCTTCTAACCATTTTCACGAGCATCTAAAGAAAGCAAGTAAAAAACATTCCCAGTGGAATTATTTCTCATTTAGGTGACTGCTACATAAAAAAAAAACCCATTGTGGAGTCTACACTGAGGTGTTCTGGTGAATTACGCTTTCATTTAATCTTAACCAGAATAAAATAGCCTTTTGGTTGTTTTTTATCACTCGTATTTTAAACAGCAAACAAATATGACTGATTGATTGACTTTATTGATCTCACAGTGTTGTGTTAGACCAGCTTTTTTTGCCAATGGAATGGGAGCCAAATGCCAATTGTTATCAGGGCAACCATGTTTGAAAAACACATGTTAACCATTTAGGCCCCGTCCACACGAAGCCAAACCCTGGCCTAAACGCACAAATTTTTCACCAAACCAGCCTCTCATCCACACGAAGCCGGTGTTTCGGGGGTCTGTAAACGATCTCTTTTTTATTCAGCGTTCAGAGTGGGAAGATTTTGAAACGCCGTTTTCGCGTTTCCATCTTTAGGCTCTAACCGCATTTTTTTTTTTACACGCATGCGTCATAGCGTCGCCTCTAAACACGCATGCGCGACACAGTATCACAACAACAATGGCGCCGTACTGTGTTGAATGGTTGCTGCTAATGCTACTCACCCGGCTGTCGGGCTTACAACAGAATCTTCTTCTTCTGGAATATCTCCAGGAAGAACAGAGCAATATCGACGACATAGTTCAGCACCTGAATTTGACTGAACCACGAAAATGGACCCGCAGGGCAACCATGTATAAATATTAGTGCGCATGCCCAACATTTCGTCACTTATTTTTGCTTTGGCACCACAGCGCCACTTACAGGCCTGGCATACATTTTGCAGCGTTTTCATGCATTCGTGTGGACGATCACATTTATTTTACGTCTCCGTCTTTACGGCAAACGTTTTGGAAAATATCACCGTTTCGTGTTTGTTTTGACTTCGTGTGGACGGGGCCATATTTTCAGTGAGAAAGAGTCTTGAGAAGTGAGGGTGTCAAGCCTTAAGAGCGTGTATTGCAGGAGGACCTCAGATGTCTTTTGAAGGGTTTCTTTGAGAGTGTCTTGGAGAGGGAGCTGGAGCCTTTAGAGCAGAGGTCAAGGGTTAGCGGTCGGGTGTCTGAATCTGGACCCACCTGCTGGCTAATCTGGACCCAACCTGATTTAAAACATTTATAAATTACCACGTTATCCGACAACAGTGTCAAACTTCACTTGCGCCACTTCTCCTGTTAATACGGTAACACCCTCCAGAGCGTCCCAGACCAGGCTACACGTGTGTGAGGGACCGAGCCAGCCAAGCATGACACAGTGGTGATTGTCAAGAAAACTGGCTTGTATTTCACCAAAGTAAAAATAATCCAAACAAAAATTTCAGGGCCCTTAAAAGAGGTCAAATGAAGAGACTAACAAAGGGCAACAAATATAAAGTTCAAACATATGAAACCTCAAACTAACTGAACAAACAAAAAACTGACCTGACACACAGCAAACAAAGAGGAATTAAATACTGGCTGATCAGACCAGACTGACACACTGAGGAAGAGGTAGGGAGAACATCTACACCAATTTAACAAAAGTAACTAAACAGTTAGCTTAAGGATTAAACTTAAATGACAATCATTAAACAAATTTAAAAAATGAGCAAATCACAAAAGTAAGAAGAAGAAATTATGTAACATATTTAAAATGTTGAGTCCATGGTCTTCCCCCATAGTGGAACTCCAGATGGTACCACCCAATCAGTCCATGATCATGTCAGCGACATTCTCCCAGTTGATTGCACTCCCACAACACCAGAAAAGAAAGCAGAAAATATAATAAGCATTTGACAAAATTAAATAAACAAAAGTTAACCAAATGTGCGCTCTACAATTGGAACTAATGTCTTCAATATTGTCAAAATAAACAAACCAATATATTTATGCTAGTGTGTATTAAAACTTATGAAAAAGTGGTTGTGTGTGGGGTTACTGACCATGTGACCATCACAACGTGATCCAAATGATCCAATGAGCTGCTGTCAGTCTGGGTTGCTGCTGCTGCTACTTTTAAACACAGCAGGCAAACCTGTGTCTAAAAGCCACCTGTGTCACATTTGGAAAATATGTTTCCATTGTGCACTTTCTAATTAGACCAGACTCTTGCCTGTTTAGTGAGATAAATTCTTTACATGTTCATTATTTGGTTCTAAAAGCTAAGAAAGAAACTAATAAAAATATGTACAACAGTCTGAGAACGAGCTCTGTAGGCAAACAAGATGGTGACTAAAGACTAAAAACTAATGGAACAACGAGAAGAAAGCAAAGTTGGTTCTGAAAGAGTAGACTGCTAACCCAGTTGTAGGTAGCCTTTTTTCTAAACTTTGTGTTGTGTTACAACCCGTCTACGGGTGTCCAAATCATGGAGCCTAGGTGGAAGTTCAACTGACTAAACTGATTGCGTTCCTACATCCACCTGCGACACAGCCAATCAGCTTTAAACCACACCTCCATGAAAGCCAATCAGCATCCAAAGTTCATCATAACAGGTCTCCTATCCGCAGCTCTTCTGCTCCTGTGTGCAGGTGGTGGTTGTGCTGTCTGACATCATTCAGATGACCCCATTTCAAACCACCTTCAGCTCCTCCTCCACCATCGTAGCTAAAGCTTCATCAGAGTGTCATTCCTCCCAGACTCTTACTGCATTCCGCATCTCATTTCAACTGGTCCGGCAGCAGACCGCCATGTTGAGCCTGGTTCTGCCAGAGGTTTCTTCCCAACGGGGAGTTTTTCCTCTCTACTGTCGCTTCATGCTTGCTCATCATGGACAGGTTCTCTCAACCTGTGTTATCCAACTGGACTTCCATCTTCCAGGTCCCTGAGTGAAGCTCTAGTATCAGCTCATGCAATCCACTAAATCTCAGCGTACCGTCTCGCTAACCATCAGTCTACAGACTGACCAACTTCATCTATCTCCACCAGTTTCAGGCCTGTGGGGCAACAGCCAGCGACGGCAGGTTTTATATCCGTCACCTCCAGGAGGTCATTTATTTATTTATTTACTTAATCAGGACAAAGGACATTAATGAACAATATTATACTTCTGTACAGATTTTTAATGAGCCAGGTTGTAGCATAGTTGCTAATTTACATCTGTCGTCCTGAGGCAGGAAGACAAAACAACACAAGATCACATAATACAATATCAGTCAAAACACATAGACACACGTTCAGACAATGACATTACAACAATAAAATTAGTAAGTGCATGACTGGGAGCTTTTAAGAAACTGTTTAAGGTGCTTTTTAAATGTGCAATAAGTTGCACATTCCCTGATGTTTGTTGGACATCTCCGTCATCATCTGGGGACCAAGCAGGGACAGGGACCTCCACACTCATATATACATAAGTTGACGTTGCCAGTTGTAACAGTCGTTAACTTTTTGTTTTCTCAAATTGCTGTTAACTTTTCCTCAGCCTTAAAATAAATGGAAAACAATTATCAAATTTCAGGGGTCACAAATAAAAAGACATTTTATGCCATAAAATAAGCAATTAAAGTAATTACATTTTAAAAGTGGTGGTTATTTAAAGGATATTGTAGTTATTTTTTGCCATATAGATTTTATTTATTATTTATATAGATTGAATTTTATATAGATTTTATGGCAATCTGGTTGACTTTTCTTTATTCAACTGGTTGGTTGAAGGGGGGCATGAAAACCTTCTATAAATCAAAAAGAGGGCAGACAAAGAAAAGTCTGAGAACCTCGCTGTATTAATTAGACCTAAAGGAGTAAAACATGTTGATGAAAAATTTGCATATCAAATGCTGGAGTTAATGAGTAATCATTTTAATTTAATTTTCCATTTAATACACTGGTCAGGTTTATCCTCATTATAGAAAAATCCTCCATACTGCAAAAAATGTAAATCTAAATAAGAATTAGTATTATTTTTTTAAATAAGTGCATTTTTTTCTTGAATTGAGCAGGTAAGTGAGACGCTTTCCCAATGGAACAAGACAATTTACATTTAAAATAAGAAAAAACTATTTTCCTTTTTCAGGTTAATAATATCTACTTGTCTTATTTTAAGAGTAAAAATAATAATTCCGTTGTCAAATAATTTGATTTACCTTCTAAAGTTAAGGGTAAATACATTTAATAAAATAAAAAAATTTCTTATTTCTAAATCATTTTTGCAGTGCAGTGCCAATAACTGTGAATACTGTTAAGACCAGTTACTTAAATAAATAATTAAGCTTTAATTTTTCCTGAATTTTCAGTAAAATCAAATATCCTGTCACTTTTGGACTTAACAAAAGCCTGTACCTTAGTTTTTAAACCTTTTTCAAATTCAGAGTTCTTGCAAATTTTTAAACCAAAGGGCCCTGACTTATTCTGCTTTCTTTATAATAAAAGAATACAGAGAAAATTTGTAATTTCTATGGGCATGTAACAGCTGCTGCAAGCTCCAGCTTCACTATGAGGCTGTCCTTGTGTGAATCCAGCTGAGAGGTGATATGTAAAGAGGATGGGGCAGAGATAAAATCCATCATTCTTTCCACGGTGGAGCAGCAGCACAATGAATCCATCCATCTTCTCAGTGAGAGTATCATGCCATGATCAGCTGTAGTGCTTCTGTTCACGCTGACTTTTTGACCCCTACTAATTGTGACAGAGATGGAAATGTTTATTGCAGCCAAGCATGGACCTCAGCGCCTGACCCCATCAAACCGGAGCTATTAAACAAACTCTTGTCTGTAATTTCTCTTCGCAGAGGTGTCCCGAAACGACTCCTGTCCCGATCTGCCTGAGATCCAGAACGGCTGGAAGACGACTTCACACGTTGCGTTAGTGCGAGGAGCCAGAATCACCTACCAGTGCGATCCTGGCTATGACCTGGTGGGGCGGGAGACCCTCACCTGTCAGCTGGACCTGTCCTGGAGCTTTCAGCCTCCCTTCTGTGAAAAAAGTCAGTTTTTCTCCATTGCATAATACTTTTTGAATAATTTCTGATTTGAACATTTTCCTGCTTAAAGCCCGAAAACTATCATGACTGATGACGTTATATACGTGAAGATAAAAAGAATAAACAGTTTACAGAGAAATGTAATATGCAGCGTCCAAACACGTTGACTCTTTTAGAGTTATTACAACTGGAGTGAGATATACACTATGTAAAGAGGTCATTTAACTCTAATTCAAAGTGGGAACAAAATGCACTCAGATTAGTGTTGAATTTAAAGGTATAGTGGAGGATATTTTTGAAGAAACCAGCACTCTCCATAAAAAAAAAACACACATGCACAATTCTGTACCTGCTCAAAGAGGGAACGACTATTAAACATAGAGAGCGTCCATTTCTCCTCTGTTTAGCAGTTGATTACTTTCAAAAAGAGCATAAGCATTCTTTCCACTATGTCAGACTCACCACCGGTAAGTGAAAATGGGGCCTTACATAAACATATCACCAGAATGATTGACAATAGGGATGACCAATTATTTTGATGATCCGCCAGGAAAAAGAAAATCCTCCACTATACCTTTAACCAGGCTCTGACTGATAATCTGTGATAGCGGGCGTTTGCCCGGTGGGCCGGTCCTAATTTCAGCGTGTGAGGGCCAACCCTCCTTAAAGGCATAGTATGCAACATTTTTCAGTTAATTAATGTGTTCCATAACGTTTTGGATGATTAAATGAGTCATTTCAGGTTGTACAAAGGTTTTCTCGGCCGCCCTGGTGGTCTGTAGGGGAAATACCGTACTTGCAATTGCAGGAGCCCTCGGCCCGCACCCGCAGGCTCAGAAGTCTCGCGCATCGCAAGAGTCGGTCTTGCTTTACGGCGAGAACTGCTACACGCCCCCAGTGAAAGGCATGCTCGTTGCTAGCGCAGTGCCGATATTTGTGCAGTTATCATGGCGGAACCAGAGAGAAAACAGCGAAATTTTCAAACTGGAATATTGGAACAAAATAGTCACTTACCGCAATAGACATGGTGATTCGTTGCGTTTGCCTGTCTGCTAAGCTCAAAACAACCGCGCCTGGCTTGACGGAGAAACCAGGAGAACAGCTGAGCATATTTACGACAGTGCACTTTTACTTTAGCCCTCTGGGGGGAGCCTCGCTGGAAAATCAACACCGGTTGCATAGTATACCTTTAAATCAGCTCTCACCTGTGACAGTAAATAACTGAAGGAGCTCAAGAAATAATCTAATGTAAACTACCTAAATGATGCATGCAGTATATATAGCCCCTACTTGTCATGCGCATCCTTGTGACGGTTGGCATTTTCTATTTCTTCAAACTAAAATCCTTGCAACAAACTAAATTATGATAAAACTAAAGTGCTTTCCTTATACCGAACTATGATGTTCCTCTTATATTTGGCAAATTGATGTTACTGTAGAATGTTTTGCAAAAATATGTAGCGGTGGATGATGGGGTTTTGCATCTAAAGGCCAACGTGCTTTGGTTACCAAAGTAACCAGTCTCTGGACAAGACTCCGCAGTACACCTACACCTTGTGGACAAAGGACATTCTTTTGAGGACCAGAATGTCCATATTCTGGATAAAGAAAATAGGTGGTTTGAGAGGGGCGTGAAGGAAGCCATCTATGTTAAGAGAGAAAAACCAACTTTAAACAGAGGTGGTGGACTCAGATTCCAGCTTCCAAAAACATACAATTCAATCATAGACATGATCCCTTCCAGATATCACCAAACCCCCCACCCCATCACAGAGGAACGAGGGACTTACCCGCTCCAGCCGGTGAACAATACCTCCTTAACGACCAACCCTTAACAATCATAGACAGGTTTCAGGTATTACAGGAGACAATCCCCCCCCCCCCCTTAATGACAATCCCCCCTTTAACGACCGACCCCTAGAATCATAGACAGGTTCAGATATTACAGGCTAACGATGGAACTAACGACCCATTCATCGGTTACCATTGCATGTTTCCAAGCGATACAAGGCGTTGTCTATATAAGACTCAAACTCACTGCGGATCCAGACATTTGAATTGAGAAAGCTTCCTGGAGAGGTGGCGAAACGTCTTCAGATCTTGAAAACCAAGTCCAGTGGATATTTTTTGAATTTTTTTTTTCCACTTGAGGATTTTGTAAAATTGAAACATTGACAACACAACATTATCATTTCAACTTTAAACAACATTATTATTCTATATTAAATAGCGAACAAATATGGAAAATAAAAACCATGACTGTTCTTTTGTAGATTTATGTATCACAAAACCTTCTTGACTTCACATATACCCAGAGATGGGTAGTAAACTAGTTATATTTACTTGAGTGACTCTAAAAAAAATAAAAATTAAAAATAAAAAGTGTTTTTGACCTGAATTTGAGATACTTTATAAAAGATTTAAAGGCACACAGTAAAAGCAATTTAGAAATTTGTTAAATTAAATGTATTTACCCTTAATTTGAGAAGGTAAATAAAAGGATTTGCCAATGGAATGATTATTTTCACCCTTAAAATAAGATAAATAGATATTATTAAGTTGAAAAAAGACAATGCACTATTTTTCCCTTATTTTAAATGTAAATTGTCTTGTTCCATTGGCAAAGCATCTAACTTACCTGCTCAATTCAATAAAAAAGGCACTTATTTTAAGAAAAAATTAGTTATTTAGATTTACATTTTTTGCAGTGCAGTTCTACCAGATACCATGGAAACACTGAATTTAAATGAACAAATCGCTTGTCTGAAGAATATTTTTCTAATTATTCTGTTTTTAGTAGATAGAAATTAATTTCATAATTCACCAAAAGTAGAAAACACACAGTTTATGTGGTCTCAACTAAGTATTTAACACTTGAACATTAAACAAAAGCCAAGATTATTCATTGCTGTACTTTTTGTATTAAGGAAATTAATCTAATCAAAGACTTTGCTGTTTTCTTTTTTATTCTCTTCCTCATAGTCATGTACTGTTCCGACCCGGGTCACGTGGAGCATTCGACCAGAACTCTGTCTGACCCTAAACTGTTGGTCGGCACAACCATTCAGTACAGCTGCAACCCCAGCTTCGTCATGCAGGGCGGAGCCACCATTACCTGTTATGGTCGTGAGCCAGGGACGCCCGTGTGGACTTCTCGACTTCCTCATTGTGTTTGTGAGTATCAGACAGGATTGTTAAAACTGTATCCTGCAGTTCAGTGTTGTTTTGGTCGATGATGACGAAATAATTTAATTGACGCTACTTTTTAATGACGATAACAAAAACTGACGAGCTAAACATGGATCTTTGATGACTTTGATGACTAAAACATGACTAGTCATAGGTTTGAGTTTTAGTCAATGAGACGGGACTGAATTAAAATTAGTGGGACGTTTAAGCTGCTTAATTTTGCTATAATCAGCTAAGCTAACTCTGTCAAACTGCTCTGATCTTACATGGAGCTCAGATTCTGCGCTTCATGCTCCGCTCTAATGGTTCGTTCTCAGTAGTATGGCTATTCCATCGCTACTTAATAAACTATATATCACTGATCATCAATTCAATTCAGTTCAGTTTATTTCTATAGCGCCAAGTCACAACACACGTCATCTCAAGGCACTTTACAGTTCAAAAGATCATCCAGTCAAATTGGTTCAAAGTTTTCCATCTAAGGAAAACCAGTTGATTGCATCGACTCATTGACCCAAATAAAATCCCTTACACTAAGCGTGCTTGTAGCGACAGTGGAGAGGAAAAACTCCCTTTTAACAGGAAGAAACCTCCAGCAGAACCAGGCTTAGTGTGAGCGGCCATCTGCAGAGGCCGACTGGGGTTCAAGGAGACAGAAGCAGAGATACAAAAAGCAGCTGTAAAAGGAAACACACAGCCAGGCAGATGAGCTCCGAGCCAGCTCCCATGTCAGAGGATGAAGAGAGCACATGCAGCCAGTCACAGTCAGAGAAACAGGACTACACTGGAAAACAGGCTGATCTCCAACATCTATAAACAAAGGTGTTGATGGCAGCAGCACAGCTGATATTTCTCTCCAGGATGGAGTCACAGCCAAACAGGAACAGACCAGATGAAGCTACTATGAGAAAAAGCAGAGAGAGCAGAACGTTAGAGATTGAACTAACAGATTCTGCAGAATAGGAGAACAGAGAGAGAATGAAGCAGAATGATGAAATGGGGGTCCCTATGTCCTCCAGCAGTCTAAGCCTATAGCAGCATAACTATAGAGATAGCTCAGGATAACCTGAGCCACTAACTATAAGCTTTATCAAAAAGGAAAGTTTTAAGCCTAGCCTTAAAAGTAAAAAGGGTGTCTCCCTCACGGACTAAAACTGGTAGTTGGTTCCACAGGAGAGGAGCCTGATAACTAAAAGATCTGCCTCCCATTCTACTTTTATAAATCCTAGGAATCACTAGTAAACCTGCAGATTGAGAGCGAAGTGCTCTGTTAGGAACATAAGGAACAATCAGATCTCTGATATCAGATGGAGCTTGGCCATTTAAGGCTACAGTGTGTAATAATTACAGGGATATACAGTCAGAAATGTAATATATTATACATAACCATGTTATTTATCATCATCTACGAGCTCAGCCTCTTAACCTTAATATTTGCGTTGCCTTAGAATTCGTTATTTATAATTACATAGGAGCGGGTCTCGCAGTCATGGAGGCAGACATCTTTGCACTATGGCAGCGCAGAGCCAACAAACTAGCGATTGCGAGATCGCCCATTACGCTCGAAAGTAACTACGGCAAGTTGAGAGAGATGAACTGAGACGGTACTGAACAATAGATGGCAGTATTAAAATTATCTATGTAAACAAACCTCATCACTTGAGAAGGTAGGTGATGCGGACGTCGTGGAAGACATTTTGTCCCGTAACGCTCGCCGTACTGTTGGGGGGGAGAAGCGGTGGGGGAGAGATGTTCATGTTGCTGTGGTCTGCAGTCTGAACGTTAGATGTCGCTGAAAATTACACACTGTAGCTTTAAGGCTTTATATTTACTTCTTCAAGCTCACATAAGTCAATACTAAACATTCTTTAAGGAATCCATAAATAATATCCAAGTAAAATATTTAATTAAATTCTCTTTTTTGGATAAAGAGCCAGATGAGAAGGTACATAGATCTTTGAATATTTCTCTCTGATTGTTCCCGTTGCTTTCTATTTAAATATGATGTAAATGTTTCCTTGTATTGACTACATTTTAGTTAGCATATGCATTAAATTTAGGTCTGGATTGCCATGGCATTACTGGCAATTATGTTCTATTTGCATTTTTTTTTTTTTTATCCTGTAAATTTAAAATCTACTTTTACCCCTGAGCAGAGGTAACTAATGTTAAAATTCTCAGAAATGAAACAAAAATAGCCAAAGTAGAAAGAAGAATGTTTTTGTTTCCTTTTTTGGAGCAATGAAGATTTTATTGATCTGAGTGTAATGCATAATTCATACTAAATCAGGAAGTGTTTGCTTTTGAAAGGAAACCTTGTATATCTAAAAGCATTCCTATGCCCAACAGCAATGATGAACATCAAAGCAGCATTCTATACCCAGCTATTGTAGTATCTAGGATAGAGCTGTCAGTCTGGTAAAGAATCTGGTTGTTATCCGAAATTGTAAAGGTTAACTTTTTTTTTGCAGCATAAAAATGACTAAAACTAGAATTTCAGACAAACTATCAATTAGTCCTAAAGACTAAATCTAAGATGGCTGTTAAAAACAACACTGCTGCAGTTCGATAAACAGTTACAGATAAAGCACTAATCTTATGGAGAGACTACAGTACTATGACCAAAAATTGCAATAGATTTATAGATGTCCATTGTACCTTATTTCAATTGATTCCTGAAAACCAGGCCTCTGACTCTCTATTTGAAGATAGCAGCCATTAGTAAACGTCTGCGTTTTCATTTCAGTACCTCTAGTAGCAAAACAATATATATAAAAAAACAGACTTAGAAAAATGACACCACTTTTTATTTTTCACATGCCTTTTAATGACAGGAAAAAACAAACAAACAAACAAAAAAAGTTGATATTTTTTAACCATATTTATTATCTTATTCGCTTTCAAGGTTTCTCAACATTTAGTGGAGAGGAAAAAAATGTAAATTGAAATTAGAAAAAAAATTCAATCCAAAAGCGAAATTTTGCAAATGTTTTAATCAACAAAGGAGCTTTACTTATCTGTTTTCTCAGTTTTTGGTGTGTGTGTTTTTTTTTTTTCTGTTTTCTTTTTTTGTTTCTTTTTATTAAAAGTTATAATATTGACAGTATCTATATTTTGAAAATTCATTTTGTTCAAATGCTTTTTTTTTAAATGTATAGAATTTTTTCTAATTTATTTTTTTGTATTGAGTTCATCGAATTTCATTCTTTTATTTTTTATATTTAGTTTGAATTGTATTCATTAATCTTTTAGATCACATTTTTCTTACCAATAGAAACGCTCACTATTGAATCTAAGTTGACCAATACATTGTTGTTGTTGTTATTTTCCATGTTGACCAATAGAAATGGGTCTTCAGTTCTTACTGAAGGAAATTTGCAAAGCTAAATCTGGACAACAACAAAAAAAAAAAATGAAAATATAAAATGTGATAAAACAGAAAAGTTAATTTCTTACATTTTTTTATTTTCTGAGTTGCTATTTTTTTTCTTTCGATTTTTTATTTAATGTGTTTTTTCAAAATTCCTTGATTGCGACACTAACGGAACCAAATCCGCTCCATGAATCTCCATTTGCTGTTGAACGATGAAGCTTGATGTAGCGGATAAATGGGGAACAGTGACTCTTTCCTGTTGCAGATCTATACGACAGGACAGGATGTGTTTGATTTCTTGGATCTCTCTTTTTCTATTTTTAATTTTTTTTTTATAAATAAATAAAAATCCCAGCATTTCAAAGCAGAAAGGGTCTTCCTCTTTTGCATTTCACCCTGGGTATTTTTTATGGCTGTTAATGTAAGTGTCAGGTGTTTGATATGTAAATGAAATGCTAATAGAGCGAACCAATCAGCCTTTAGCGACCAGGAGGAGGGGAAGAAGATTATCCTCGACTCATGTCACCTCAGCTACTGTTAGAGCCATCTGTGGAGCTCTAACACATACATAAAAAAATTATATATATATATATATATATATATATATATATATATATATATATATATATATATATATATATATATATATATAAGCATTAAAATCTTTTCTTGTTTTGTTTTTCTCTTGCAGCTGAGGAAGCAGTTTCCTGTAAGAACCCTGGTATCCCTCATGAAGGTTACCAGATCCTGTCCAAAAGGTTGTACTTGCCTGGAGAGTCACTCTCGTTTGTTTGTAACCAACATTATAAGCTCATAGGAGAGGGGACCATTAAATGCATCCTTGGGAACCCTTCATTTTGGAGTGGCCCTCTTCCTATCTGCAGGAGTAAGACTTTATTTTGAATTTGCTCTCTTCAATTTTATGGCCATTGTAAGCTTTTTAGACATGCAGGATATTGTTTCCCTGTAATAGCTCTGTAGCATCCAATCACGTAATCAGGAATAGTACACCCAAAACATGATTAGCCTTCATTTTCTACTCACCCCCATGCTGAACAACACTCTGGAGTACTTTTTTGATATCTCAAATGCATCTGGAGATCTGGGAGGCTTCTTGCTGTCTGCTGACATTCAAATAATGGAGGTCTATGGTGACCGAGACAGAAAGGTCCATAAAAGTCCACAAAAAACGTGTCAATATTCCTCCATACTGCTCGTCCAATGTATTCCAAGTGTCCTGAGTGGGTAGCGTCCATAATTTACTCGAAACAAAGTCATTTAGAATGTTTTTAGAGCATAAACAGTAGTGTATTGGATTTCCTGAAAGCGCGTTTACGACGCTACTTCCTCAACACTGAAGTCCTCAGACATTTTTCTTTCATTGTTTCTTTCTTTGCACAGGTAAACAGCACATTTCTTCTTCTACGCTTGCGTTATCGGCAGAGCAGACACTGAATGCGCACTTTCGTCTGGTTTGGTCTGCCGCGGTTTCTGTAGACTTGTGAACGCGCTTTTAGGAAATCCTATACACTACTGTTTATGCTCTAAAAACATTCTAAATGACTTTGTTTCGAGTAAATTCTGGATGCTACCCACTCAGGACACTTGGAATACATTGGACGAGCAGTATGGAGGAATATTGACACGTTTTTTGTGGACTTTTATGGACCTTTCTGTCTCGGGCACCATAGACCTCCATTATTTGAATGTCAGCAGACAGCAAGAAGCCTCCCAGATCTCCAGATGCATTTGAGATATCAAAAAAGTACTCCAGAGTGTTGTTCAGCATGGGGGTGAGTAGAAAATGAAGGCTAATCATGTTTTGGTTGTACTATTCCTTTAATAAATGAAATAGCCCAGGCTAATAGTATAACATCATATCCAAGTACCTCTTTCAGAATCAAGACATGTTAAAAATGTTGATGCTGAGGTTGTGTTTTAATTTTTTTAGATTATATTAAAGGGGTCATAGAATGATTATATAGGGCAGGGGTAACCAATTAATAATCAGCTGGGTCCGAATTAAGAAAACCATCAACCAGTAAAGATCTGGAGACATTTTTAATTATAATCTTTTACTTTATACATAATAACACTGAAATAAAAGGACGTGTTTATGCATCCATGTTATACATTGACTTTTTAAATAATATTACAGCTTTATTCTAGTAATATTACTTTAATCAATTTTATTCAGTTTAATTATATAGCACCAATTCCCAACATGTCATCTCAAGGCAGTTTACAGCTCACCAGATCATCCAGTCAAATTGATTTAAAGTTTTCTATCTAAGAAAACCAGTTGATTGCATCGAATCATTGACTCAAATGCAATCCCTTACACTAAGCATGCTTGTAGAGACAGTGGAGAGGAAAAATGTCCTTTTAAGAGGAAGAAACTTCCAGCAGAACCAGACTAGTGTTCAAGGAGACATACAGAAAGAAGCATAGATACAAAAAGTAACTGTCAACGAGCACCACAGGCGGCTCCATCCAGGAAACACACCCAGATTAGCTCCGAGCCAGCTCCAATGTCTGAGTATAAAGAGAACACATCCAGCCAGTCAGAGAAACAGGACTACACTGAAAAACAGGCCGATCTCCAACATCTATAAACAAAGATATTTCTGATATTTCTCTCCAGGATGGAGTCACAGCCAAACAGGAACAAACGAGGCAAAGCTATTACGAGAAAGAGCAGAGAGACAAACAGATTCTGCAGAGTGGGAGAAAAGAGATAGAATGATGAAAAACAGGCCCCTATGTCCTCCAGCAGTCTAAGCCTATAGCAGCATAACTATAGAGATAGCTCAGGATAACCTGAGCCACTCTAACTTTAAGCTTTATCAAAAAGCAAAGTCCTTACAATGTTATGCCTTTATTCTTGTAATTCTGCTACCTTATTGTTATATTACAGCCTGTCAAATAACAAATTCTCTTTATTATGGCCCAATACTTCGTTGTAGAAAAACAATGTCTGAACTTAATTTGCTCATTTTTATAGAATTCTTATTTACAGGTGCTGGTCATAAAATTAGAATATCATGAAAAAGTAGATTGATTTCAGTAATTCCATTTAAAAAGTGAAACTTGTATATTATATTCATACATTACATACAAACTCATATATTTCAGATGTTTATTTTGTTTAATTTTGATGATTACAAATGACAACAAATGAAAATCTCAAATTCATCATATCAGAAAATTAGAATATTGTGAAAAGGTTCAAAATTGATGGCCCCTGGTGCCACACTCTAATCAGCTATTTAACTCAAACCACCTGCAAAAGCCTTTAAATGGTCTTTCAGTCTAGTTCTATAGGCTACACAATCATGGGGAAGACTGCTGACTTGACAGTTGTCCAAAAGACGACCATCGACACCTTGCACAAGGAGGGCAAGACACAAAAGGTCATCGCTAAAGAGGCTGGCTGTTCACAGAGCTCAGTGTCCAAGCACATTAATAGAGAGGCGAAGGGAAGGAAAAGATGTGGTCGAAAAAAGTGTACAAGCAAGAGAGATAACCGCACCCTGGAGAGGATTGTGAAACAAAACCCCTTCAAAAATGTGGGGGAGATTCACAAAGAGTGGACTGCAGCTGGAGTGAGTGCTTCAAGAACCACCACACACAGACGTATGAAAGACATCGGTTTCTGCTGTCGCATTCCTTGTGTCAAGCCACTCTTGAACCACAGACAGCGTCAGAAGCGTCTAAAGAGAAACAGGACTGGACTGCTGGTGAGTGGTCCAAAGTCATGTTCTCTGATGAAAGTAAATTTTGCATTTCCTTTGGAAATCAAGGTCCCAGAGTCTGGAGGAAAAGAAGAGAGGCACTTCATCCACGTTGCTTGAAGTCCAGTGTAAAGTTTCCACAGTCAGTGATGGTTTGGGGTGCCATGTCATCTGCTGGTGTTGGTCCATTGTGTTTTCTGAGGTCCAGGGTCAACGCAGCCACATACCAGGAAGTTTTAGAGCACTTCATGCTTCCTGCAGCTGACCAACTTTTTGGAGATGCAGATTTCATTTTCCAACAGGACTTGGCACCTGCACACAGTGCCAAAGCTACCAGTACCTGGTTGAAGGACCATGGTATCCCTGTTCTTAATTGGCCAGCAAACTCTCCTGACCTTAACCCCATAGAAAATCTATGGGGTATTGTGAAGAAGAAGATGCAATACACCAGACCCAACAATTCAGAAGAGCTAAAAGCCACTATTAGAGCAACCTGGGCTATCATAACACCTGAGCAGTGCCACAGACTGATCGACTCCATGCCACGCCGCATTGCTGCAGTAATACAGGCCAAAGGAGGCCCAACTAAATACTGAGTGCTGTACATGCTCATACTTTTCATGTTCATACTTTTCAGTTGGCCAACATTTCTATAAATCCTTTGTTTTTATTGGTCTTCAGTAATATTCTAATTTTCTGATATGATGAATTTGAGATTTTCATTTGTTGTCATTTGTAATCATCAAAATTAAACAAAATAAACATCTGAAATATATGAGTTTGTATGTAATGTATGAATATAATATACAAGTTTCACTTTTTAAATGGAATTACTGAAATCAATCTACTTTTTCATGATATTCTAATTTTATGACCAGCACCTGTATTGTTACTTTAGTCACTTTCAAGTTATTTCTGTGACCATGTGGTTGTTTCTTTCATTAAACAGGCACCAACAATGTTGTCCATGAGAGTATGTTTGTTGCAGTATGTCTGCATAATTGATACAGAATACAGTATAATTAGGAATTAAATTCCTAATTATGGGAATTAAATTATTACCAAATTGACTGTGTTAATTTATTAACTCAATATGCCAATCAGAAGGTTTGGCAGGCATTGCACATAAATAGAGATTAATATGATTAAGGTGACTAAGCATTGTTACAAATACAATAAAAAATAATTCTGTCATGTCAGTTTTTATATCTGCTGAGTGATAAAATGATGTGTTTCTTTTAGCTATCTTCAGTTGCTTGCACAACCATGAATTGGAAGGTAAGTGTCTTCCTGCGCCGCTGATCATTCATCAAGAGGGTTGAAAAGGAAATGCTGTTTTTAACAGACAGATACATATAATAACAACAAAGAAACAGACAAAAAGTTTAAAAAGAACATCTCTGTCTGTGTTCCTCCTACATCTGCAATTTTCATTTTTTAACTCTCTACAATTTTTCTCCATTTGAGTACCTGCTTCATCCACCCACATTTACCAAGCCACCTTCAGCCTGACCCTCGTTGTCTAGTTAATACGCTCTAATTAATTGTGCATTGTTCATTTGTTGGGTGTCAGTTGCAGAGGCGACTGCAGCCTCCCCTCTCAGTGGAGGAAATATAGCGCTGGCCATCTTCATCCTGGTTCTGCTGCTGTCTGTTCTGCTCGGAGGGGTGTATGTTTATGTCACCAGGTGAGTCCCACAGCTGGAACATGTCTGTCAAAACAACTCCTGGATGAGTCGCATGAGACAGGAATTATTCATACAAAAACCATCAGCCAAACACGGGAGTTAACTTATTTTATAAGCCAGGGAGCGTTGACATTTAAAATCAAGTTTAAAGAAAGATATTTGGTGTTTCAAAGATTATTTTTTATGTTTGTTTACAATAAATAAAATAAGGCAAATAATAAAAAAAAAAGATTGTAGTAAATAAAATCAATAATTTTTAATGCCTGTTGGGATATATAAGGAGAAACAAGCAAACATCTTAAGGAACCTGACAGGATAGGCTGGTTATGTCCAGTCATGTTTGCAAATGTTCCACTTCAGCAGGTGCAAGGAAATGGCTCAGAGTAAATGAGAAAATGCATTGAACCATATAGGGACGGTCTGGGAGAAAAATATGTCAGAGATTACAAAACCTCAGGAATGGGGTGGAGCAGGTTGTTTTTACAAGTCCTGCAGGGTTTAAATGTTTGACTGCTTTAAAACGCTGATCCAGATGATTGTAAGTCAGCAAATGTTTGTTAATAATGGTGTAATTTCTGTTCCATTATTTTTAGTGTTGCACCGATACCAGTAACGGGCGGGGCCTCAATCCAGCACTAAAATGGTGATATCAGTATCAGGGAGTACCAACAAATAGGGCACATTTTGAGAGCCAAATGTTTATTTGATTACAGTATTGTCACCCATTCCAGTTAGGAAATAAAAAGTTCTACTGGATTCACTTTGTATTTGTCTTTTTCCTGCTTCACAAAGGTAGGCAGCAGCTTGATAAGCCATGATGGCATTTATTTTACATCCAAGTTGTATGCAGTTCATCATATATGCACCCACACATCCATTTCAAATAGATGGTATCAGTATCAGGCGATACTGCACAGCCAGGTATCGGGTATTGTAGGGTGACCAAATGTCCGTATTTCACGTCCTGTTCCGGGCGTCCCGTTTTTTTTTTTAAAAGTGAGGAAATGTCCTGTTTTTTAAATTACCTTCATTGGACCATTAAATTTACAGGCACTAGGGCCCTGCGCACGACGCTGCGTGTGACGCAGCGATCCCTGAGCCGCGCCAGAGCGGGCAGCCCTGTTGTTAATCAGCATATAGATAGCGTGGCTGTCAGTACGCCAACAACATGCCAAAGCGCATATGTATGTTTAACAATGATTTACAAAAGAGTTTCCCCGCTTTCAGACCGGGTCGAGACAAATGGGAGGCCTTGTGCACAGTGTGCAAAGCAGGCACATATGTCTCGGTGTCCAATGGAGGTGCAAGGAATCTGAAAAGCCACCTGGACACCCAAAGTAAAGATATTCTATTGATATGTTTGTTCGTTTTTGGTACATTTTGGTACGTTTTTGCTACACAAGAGGTATTTTTTGTTAATTAGCTCATTTGTTAATTTTTTTTCCCCAATAGCCTACAGAACAGACATTATTTTTAATTTTAATTAATTAATTAGTGAGGCTGAGTATCATCTGTTATTGGGAGTTGAGAGTTATTGTTAACTTTTATTGTTAAGTGAGGGGTATTTAGATGAGACATGAGACATGTTTAGATGATTACAGTGAGTGCATGCCACAGACATCTCTATGACCAAAAAATGGCATCGGCGCAATACTAATTATTATTACAAGTAAAAAAAAAGGCAATTTAAAGAAAAAGCTTTTAAAATCGTATTTTTATCCCATATTATATTTTCCATTTTTTATTGTATGCAGACATGAAACTGAGAAATTTAAGTAAGAAAAAGGTTTTTAAGAGTAACTTTACTGTTTTCTCTGATTTTATTTTTTTTTCACATTTTTACTTATTTATTTATTAATATTAATTTCATTTTAAATCCATTTAATAATTGATAGAACTTTTTTTTATATATTAATTACTTTTAAGTTTTCTCCCCAAATTTTTGTTTCCAGTTTTATGAATTGCACTCTTTTCAAATTTCAATTTACAAAACAAGTTCTTTGCCTGATAATCATCACGATAATGGAACAAAGTATAGTGTATGATATTGTAGTGAAAGGGTTTCAACAGCGTGGACCCGGGGAGGTAAAAATTAAAATGTACACCACTCTCTTCAGACCTGTGATTATAAAACACACAAAAAAAGGCAGTTTTTTTTTTTCTTTACTTCACAAGAAACAGCTTATTTTTGTAAACTGAAATATTGAATGTAATATTAAGATCATGGGGTTTTTACAAGGTGATTTGAAATCGAAATTTGAAAAGAAACTGTTCAAACGTATTGTGGCTGTTTGTCTTCTAATTATGAAATCAAATGTCTTTTTTGTAATTTTTTTACTATAGATTTATTTTGTCAAACAGTTTTTTTATGCTACCTGGGTATAATTTAGCTATGAATGGAAAATCAAACCATTGCTGTGGTCAAAACATTCTTATATAATGTCTAATTGCTGTCTTTAACATTTGGGTTTCCTTTTTTTGCCTCTCAGATGCAGATATCACACCAACCTCAGGATGCCTCTAATCTACCCCCACCCGTATAGACAGATCACTGTGGAGACAGAACATGACAACCCGCTCTATGAGACAGGAGGAGTAAGTTTCCAAATGTTAAAACTGCCGCAGAACATTTAAAGGACAAAAATAATCACAACTTAGAGGAAGAAAACCTAAAAATCTCTTCTTTTTTGTTGTGAAGGCATGCTATTCACTTAAAAACATTTCTTACACAAATAAAAGACTTTGGGGCAACATCTCGCATAGGAGGGAAGAATTGCTAAACGACAAGGGTGTAAATCACTGCTGAGATCATGATATGATGTTATATCTATTTGTTTGGACAGCCATATGGCATGGGGTGGGATGGATTGATGCGATAACAGCTGCCGTTCTACTGGTTCACACCAAATCAATAAATGCGAAATAAAGCACTGACACATGTTCACATCCCTTTTTAAAATCTAAGACCAAAATATCTGTGGTCGGCCGTATAAAAGAGAAAGTGTTGGATGGTGAACAGCGGACCCAGTATTCAGGCAAATAGATAAGAACAAGAACAGGTAGGCTCAGAGGTCCAGGGGTCCAAAGCCAGGTCAGGCAAACAGATCAGAACAGGAAAGGCAGGCTCAGTGATGAGAGGCAGGTCAGGATGAGGTAATCAGAAACATTAAGGCACGCTAAAAACATTCTCACCACAGGCTGGATACAACAAGAATAATCTAGCACCGATGACTTGATAAGAGCGGCTTAAAAATGGGCAGGAGCAGGTGGATTATATAAGAGGTAATGAGCAACTGGGCAGAATTTGACAGGTGAATAAAATTAGTAATTAACCCAGAAAATATGGACACTAATTACCCCCAAAGAGTTCAGGGGGAAACAGATGCAGCATCTGACAGCAAAAGCTGAAGCAGCCTGACCACGCAGGCAATACAAAACCCTCTGTATGCCTGAAAAACAGGCATATAGGACGACAACTGAATGCCACAGTCTGTGTGGAGATGGGTCCATATTTGGCCAGATTATTCAGAACAGACTACCCAGTATTCAGGCAAACAGGTAAGAACAGGAACAGGCAGGCTCAGTGATGAGAGGCAGGTAAGGATGAGGTAATCAGAAACATAAGGGGAACGCCAGAAACACTCTTACAACAGGCTGTAGAGCACAATAATATGGCGATGATGACTGGATGCAAGCGTCTTAAAAAGAGGCAGGAGCAGGTGGATCACATGAGAGGTAACAAGCCTGCGGGCTAAATTGGACAGGTGACTAAAATGAGTAATTAAGCCAGTCATCAGTGCGAAGATCATAACAGATGGACGTGCAAATAAAGCTAAATTTTGCTCCAGTTTTACAATCTGAACTTCTCTGTCTATGAGCATTACGTTAATCAATCCGGGATCCAGCTGTGTTGCAGGTTGAAGGAGTGAGGCGTAGGCATCCTCTCTGTCATTCAAAAACTCACCAGAGGGCGATCTGTTCACTGACATGGGACCTGCTGTCCTCGTGTCAGGAAGCATGAAACCATTAATCTGACTCCGCCAGATGGATTTGCTCCGCATATCCATCTGAAACCTTCCGTTGAAGTAATTTTGGGAAGAGGCGAAAATACTGGATAGCTGATTGGCCTATGTTGGTGAATCACGGGCCAAATAAACCAATCAGATCAACGAAGCATATGACGTACTAACAGAGCGACGACGAAAACACAACCACAAGCCAGGCTACTCTTGCCGAAACCAGTCGGGAGAAGAGCAGAAACATCTTTTCCTCTGAGAAAAGCCTCCAGAGCAGTGTTTCAGTGAAGAAATACTCTGTATTTCCGATAAAACTTGCTCAATAGCCACGCTAACGCTAGTTTCATCGGCTGAAGCCGCCATGTTCTTTAGACTGAACTGTTGCGCTTCTCGTTGCGTCTCACCTCAACCCGCCTCAAAGCCAACTCTGATTGGACGTTAGTTTGGTGAAAAGCTCCAAATTTTCTTTAACGGAGAGTCTCCAGACTGATTAGCGGGTGAAACCTTGAAAGCTCGCGAGATCAGGATGGTTTCACGAGGCTATGAAACCATGGGGATGCTTCATTAAATTAGTTAAATGTGGATAAAGATATTGTTCCCGGAGAAAACGTCAAATCTCGTATGCTTTTTACCTTGGATTCCAGCCAGCCTTAAAAGCCCAAATGGCAATGATCTTCTGCAGCAAAGAAAATGCTGTTATGAACCGTTGCTTTCATTGATCGAGGCATAGTATTAAACCATATTATATCATAAGTAATGTAATGGCGTTAAAACTGCCATCACTGAACAGAACACCACAGTAACCAGTCACTATCTAGCACTCACCACCACAGTATTAGCCTTTTTCAAATGGCCAATTACAATTACACACTGAAGATTAATGATGTAGATGAGGTGATGGTTTGTTTTGAAGCACTGATCCACACATGCATCAAATAATTCTTTTTAGAAGTGGAGCAGAAATCCCAAGTAAATGTTTTATGCTTCAAGAAGTTCTAGTTTTTACATTTTTGTCGAGTTACATACAGATTGGAGTCACCCCAAAGTGGTAATGGATTGCTGAGTAAGGCAATCATTACCTTCATTTTGGGTGGCCATTGTGCATTTAGGCGCAATTAGAGAACCGCCTGGGACCTGGGTGTTGGGAGCTGGAGAAATTCCACCTTTCTCCAGCAGAGTCCGCCGTGGATCCTCTGAGGGAGCCTCCTGCACAGCTGCAGCTCGTCAAGATCATCAGAGGATCCACTACTTAAGCTGTCTTCAGACCTTGCCTCAACGCCGCAGTGTTGTTCCAGTTGGTCAGCGCTTAAGCCTAGATCCTCTGAGTAACTCGATGACTTTTGAATCCAGCTTGGATTCTAATCCTTGTCTCTGTTTTCCAGGAAACCTGTGCCACCTCTGTGAAAGCTCAGGAAGAGCTAACCTGCCGAGCCGACCCTCAGAGCCAAACCCGAAGAATCACAGAGAACCTCCAAGCAGCTCTGGACTAGAGCTGGGAAACCCAAAGCCAAGGTCTGTTCATATTAGACGTGAGACGCTGAAGCAGCAAACGGACTCTGCTGATGAACTCTTCTCCAGATCCAACAGAGACTCTCCCAAAGCTAACCTCAAGAACCCTCAAGGTACAATCAGTAAACTTCAGGAAATCAAACCTCTGTTGGCAACGCTAACTGAACTGTCTCTCACGCAGACTCCGGTGAACCAGTATCCAGGCCCCGAACCTGAACCAGTATATTCTGTGTGTTTGTCCATAAATAAACTGTTAAACTTTCATCCCTGTGTCCGTCAGTGGTGTTCTGCATTCTTGGGTCGCTTTTAGTGAACCCATCATGACAGAACACTGCGGCCAAACTCAAGGCCCAGCAGAACATCTCCGTCAACTATTGGAGGAGCGGGATGCCCAAATCCACAGACAAGTTCAAGCTCTGAGTGAGTTAAACTCCCGCATAGAATTCCAAGACCATGTTGTCCGAAACTTCACCAGTCGTTTGAACAATGCTAACGCTACACCAGTACCACAACCATTTCCGGGTCCAGTTCCACCTCCGAGGTCACCAGCTGTGACGTCATCTGAGTTCCGCCCTAGTCTTCCAGAAAGATTTTCTGGTAACATGAAAGATTGCAAAGGATTTTTATTTCAGTGTCGTTTGATTTTTATGAACTCCCCTGGCACAAGAAGATAACTTTCATTCTCTCACAGTTAACAGGAAGAGCCTTGGAATGGGCTCAGGCAAGATTTGCCGCTGAAGATAGCTTAAACTGCTACTACTCTGATTTCATCTCTGAATTTACCCAGGTATTCAACCAAGAAACTGACCAAACAATTGATTCCAGAGCTCTTTTCAACCTAAAACAGGGAAACTCTTCGGTGGCTGAATTTTCCATTAACTTCCGGGTTAAAGCGGCAGCTTCCGGATGGAACCAAAGCGCTCTTAAGGGAGCCCTTTTCATGGCATTAAATGAGCACATTAAAGATGAGCTCGCAACCCTCGACGAACCAGCTACCCTCGAAGATTTAATTCGCCTCTCCATTAGATTGGAAAATAGAATTCATGCCAGAAACAGTTCTAAGAAGCAGGGTACACTTTCTTCTGCCTCACATAACGTGACTGTTTGTTCTTCCTCTACAGAGCAGCTGCCCATTCAGAGGCCTAAGTCCCAGTCTCTACCGTTGCCTATTCAGGCCTCTCATTCGGGCAAACGGGATGTCGAACCCATGCAGGTGGGACACACTAGGCTCACTCCAGAGGAGAGGCAAAGGCGTTTTCTAAGCAAACTATGCATCTACTTTGGTGAGAGTGGACACTTCATCGCTTCCTGCCCGGCTAAATCAAAAGCCTGGGCCCGCCAGAGTATCTGAGGAGTCTGGCGGGCCAGATAAACACAAAGAAATCTCCTCGACTGTTACTTCCTGCCACGTTGTTCTGTGCTAATCAAAACCTCTTTTTTTCTGCATTCATCGACTCAGGCTTTGAACGTAACCTTATCGATTCTAACCTCGTCCAGCAACTCCAAATTGAAACCATTCCTCTGACTCAGCCTCTCGGTGTATCCGCTATTGACGGAAAAAGACTCCATCAAGTTACCCATCAAACTCAGCCCCTCGAGCTACTTCTGTCAGGTAACCACCGAGAAACTATAACATTTTTTGTTTTTCCCTCTGCATGTTCCCCATTGGTGCTCGGGTTCGAATGGTTGGAGAAGCATAATCCTCACATAAACTGGACTGAACGTCACCTGGAATCATGGTCCATCTCATGCCATGAAACATGCCTTCGTTCTGCTGCCCCCTTGGTGGGGTCTCCTAGAGGTGGGGGGGAGATGGACTCTCCTGACCTTTCTTCAGTTCCTTCTGAGTACCATGACCTAGCCCCGGTTTTCAGTAAGGTCAGTGCGACGTCCCTACCTCCACACAGACCATACGATTGCGCCATTGAACTTTTACCTGGTGCTCCTCTACCTAGCAGCAGATTGTATAATATTTCCAAGCCTGAGAGAGAAACCATGGAAAAATACATCAATGAATCATTAGCTGCTGGAATAATCCGCCCATCATCCTCTCCATTGGGCGCCGGGTTC